AGCAGCTCTAACCAGTAGTTTTGGTTTCTAACTTGGTTTCTCTAATCAACACCAGGCGAATGCAGCAGGAGTACCCTTACAAACGGACCATGGAACGCGCACGAGCTTACCTTCCTTTTCCTTATCACATCTTCATCCTTTACTTATTTACACATACGCTACTATGCATTATACATACCAGGAGACCAATCAGGAGCTTAAATCTTGTTCCGGGCGAGGTGGTGCCTCACCTTTTAGGAGGAAACCGCTAGTCGAAGATCATCGACACCTCTCGAGGAAACACATTCACTACACTTATGGGACTAATAGCCTTATCGCCATAGACCCTGAACTAATGACGGGGCTAATGACATTTGACCTTTATTGGCTCGAAACCACTTAGAACCAATCAATCAAACCTGAGTCTTTGTTTTCACTTCTTTTCCCCATCACTCTACCAGCCAGCGGCACAGTTATCTTCCTTCCGTCCTGCGTTCCACTCCTCACGCTCAGAGATTCCTCCCGCGTCAGCCGTGTCTCTCAGCCGACCCACATCCTCGCTTCCTCTCCATCCCATTCCCCAAGCCGTGCCCCGGCAGAGTGCGGCTCGCCCTCAGTCCTCAGTCCAAGCAAACTGCCCGAGGCCTCATTTGCGCAGAGTCCGACAGAGGCGGAGCGGGCGGCCGTCCGCCGCCTTCGCACCGCGGTCGCGTCCCGGCCCCGGCCCCAGCCCCTGCTGCGGGCGGGCCCGCAACCCGCAACTCCGAGCGGCCCTCCGCCGGCCGCCGGGGCAGGGGGCGTGACCGGGCTCGGGACCGGTCCGGGGTCGGGAAGAGGGATGCCACATCGAAGTCGATGCGTCCAAAACATCCATGTCTTTGTAGAAACAACGATAGTTCAAACATCGATGTATTGGCGTCGATGTTATTTTAAGATCGATGTCTTGTGATCGATTTTTTTTTCCTTTTCCGATATTATAGCGAATATACCCTTAGAATCACTAAATCACAGTTTCTTAAACAGCGTTCCTTCATTTACATAACTTGAAAAAGCAATCTCTTGTTTCTCCCAAAACGCAGAAATAAAATCCAACGATAAACTTTTCTTTTCGTCCGTTAACATCAGGATATAATCAAAATCGTTCAAAGTCTCAAATCAAATGCTTCAGTTCGATGTATAAATGCCAAGCTGCTAAAAAATAGCCTTAGATGGACATACCCAATTATCACCGAAATCGTTAAATTTCTCACTAATGACGGGCAATATCCCTTATCCTGGAAGACTGCGCTCGTGCATCCTATTCCCAGACAGAGCATCAACCAAAAACACCCTATGAATACCGCCCAATTAGCATCCTCCCAACTATCTCTAAATTACTCGAAAAAGTCGTCCGGGGAAACAAACTAACAGTATCTTCAAACAAAAATCACTTTTAAACGATCAGCAATCAGGTTTCCGTTCCCGCAGAAAATACAGAAACCGCGCACTACTAAACGTCATGAAAGACGCGGAGAACAAGCAATAGATTACAGTAAATATAACTATTTTGGTTCTTCTGGATTCAGCAAAGCATTCCGATTCAGTTAGATCACGACATCCTGCCTCGCCAAACTAAAGATCATGGGATTAGCACACCCACGTGTAAATGGTTTCTTAATTATTTAACTTCTAGAACCCAAAGAGTGTGTCCGTAGCCGTAGCTCAAGGACTTGAAGCTTAGCCCGAGTTGCTCAAGGCACTGTGTTAGGCCACTGCCTTCTTAATCTATGAAATGACGGGAAATGCCACCTTAAATCATTGCAGTCACCCAAAATGTATGCGGATATCTCCAGATATATCTAACGTGGATCACCCGTCTCAACCTCGTTTCACTTCGTACAAAAAAATAATAAGATTTGTAGCGGGTAAACAAAACTGGCAGCGTCTTATAGGCTTACAATTAAACCCAAACAAATCACAGTGCAGTTATCAGCTCAAAATGCCACTATGAATAAAATCTCAATCTTCTCCTTTGCCCTAATATTTATTATAAATGACACCTTTTATCTTGTGTTCTGAATCAAGAACTTAGTTAGTTATCGCACAACACTCTCAGCTGGAACTCACACGTAGAGTTCAACCTGCCGTAAAGTGGCTTCAATGCTACCTCACTGAAACGCCCGCAGCACTTGACCAGGTAGCACACTGAGACTCTCCAATCAAAATCACTGTATCTATGCACACATTTCGACTATTGCGCACTTTCTTCTGACCAAACAGACATTCAAAACAACGTAAAGCTTAACTAGTAGCCCAGAACGCATGCGTACGTAGTTTATTTTATATCTACGAAAATACGACCATGTATCGAATATGACAGAATCAATACTAGCTTACTCTAGACAAAAACGCGTTACTAGACTCTCTACTTCTTCTTATAAAGTTTTTAAACCGGTTCTCATGCAAACACGCCTCATAATGCACTTCACCTCTAAACTAAATCGAGCTCGCGAAAGAGATCAGCCCCCTCTTTGTACCACGTAACAACACACTTCATTCCAGCTATACTCATTCACCATTACAGTATCCGATGGAATAAATACCAGTCGAGACTAAAGCATTAAACAACGTTTGCGAAAATTCAAAGCTGAATTAACACACATGGATGTAAAATAACGCATTATAGAACCGGCCGTCCAAACGTCTTCCTTCAAATCTCAGACTTCTCCCACTTTCCAGCGCCCGTCACCGCCCCCGTTAAATTAACCTCATATTTCCCCCTCCTTTATTCAAATCTACCAGACCTCATGCTCTATCCTCATTCTTTCATATCCCTCTCACATCTAAATTATGAGCATCATACTTTGCTGTTGTACCCTAACGACAATTGTTCTATAAAATATACAAAGATATTAGTGACGTTCCAGAAAAAGTATACTTGAGCCTATCTTTACCATCAGGATATTTACTACATATATTGCAATAAACCAAATGAGTTAAGATCACCAGCACCTTTGTATTGTTCCTTATACTGCAGTATTTGTTTTAAAATTACCTTTATGTTGCTTACAGGATATTGTGCTTCTTTGTGTGTTAAAATTATTGATATTTATTAAAAGCTACCGCTTAAAACTAAACGTAGTCTTCTCTATAACGTTCCTCATATAACTCACTTTTTGCCTACTTCTTCTTCGTCCTTTCTTCCTTCTATTCTCTTCCCTCTTCCTACAAATTTATCATTTTTAAATTCTTTACCCCTTCCCCTGAATCGCTCTCGTTCTTTTCTCGTTTTCACGAAGATTCCCTTCACTACTATGTACAACTACTCATTACATTAATGTTCGGCCCGAAGCCGCCATCCTGATTGAGTTTTTCTGTTACTCAATCGCTTAAGCGTATGCCCGATGTCCCTAGGTTTGTTCCTCCCAGAACGCTAAATGTACCAAGCTTCAGTCCCTCGAAAATGTACTATTCTAAATGTATGTAAAATCGAGTGTAGCGGAAGAGCAGGCCATGCTTATGAGCCTCGCCTATTAATAAAGACATATTATTATTATTATTATTATTATTATTATTATTATTATTATTATATTTTGTTTCTGGATGAAAAATTCCGACGATCACAATACTGTAAAAGTAAAATATGAAATACAACTGATGGTGATACTTTTTCAAACCAAAATAACGCTCTTTGTACTACTTTCAGCTACCAAACTCTCTCGCCCGAGATGACCTCCATGCTCTTGAATTTCCTCTTTCTTCATATTTATTTCGAACATTGAGATGAAGTTAACAAATACACTCAAGGTATAGGGTCTACCCCTTCCCAAATCCTTATTCAGCGAATTGATAAACACAAACACTGTCAAATTTAATTTTCATGCACATCAATTAGTTAGAGCTTACTAAACCAGTCTAAAATTATCGATGATCAAAAAAATTTATGGTTTTCAGTCGATGTCTTTTGAACATCGATGTTTTAATTTTAAACATTAATATTTGCTAACATCGATGTTTTGTTATCGATGTCGCATCACTAGTCGGGATCGGGCACGGAGCGAGCGACGGAGCTGGCGGCAAGGGCGCGGGCGGCACGGATACTTCTAACAACGAAATACGCGATAACACGAGATAAGTTTTTTTATTCGTTTCGAAAAATTGTTCCCATTTCCCATTTGTTGTAGAATAAGAGAGAAATTTTGGAAAAAGATCTACTTGGTCAACATGTCTCTACTGAACAGTCGTTTTAATTTTCATATTCGATGTTTGTTTCTATTATAAAATTGCTCAACATTTGCAATCAGAAATGCTAGAAGGCAAAAACAAAGAAATGGGCATACTACTCCGAGAGCTTATTTCATTAGGATCTCACGAAAATATTTTTTATTTAAATTTGCTGTAACAAAAATAATTTCAATCAAACTCCTAAACTGTTTATTCATATTATAACAAATGTAATCATGAATATACACAACTTTATCTTCAGATTTATTTTCGTATCTTTAAGAACGTTTTCTAGACCCACCTCATTTCAGCGCTCCAATCAACAGCCTTAGTTTGAATGCATATGTACTGAGGTAGTGATTAAAGCCCCAGTACTTTTTGCCAAATACTATATCTTACACTTGTGTCATTTGTAAATTTCAGCAATGTTTAAACATATTTTAAACTAGGTGTAGTCTTTATTATTTTAGGTTAACACAAATTAAAATTTGGGCACTTTCCAAACTCATTTGAAATTTAAGTTAGCAACTTTAATCTAGTTAAATATAAGTTGAGAATGTAACTTTTAAAAGATACTTTCTTACTCATATTTCATTTTTTAATATTACATTTTTATTACAAAGAACACTCAACATTTTTGTATTAGTTCATAACTAAAATAATTTAATACATATCCTTCAATACAGTAATAATGCAGGTGACTTGGACGGGTTGAACATAATATATAAAAGTGAAATTATATTATTATGTTAGTTATATTTTCAAATTATATTGTAATTTATTTAATTAAGTAAAATATAGTTTAGACATAAATGGACTTACGAAATAATCGAAGAACCCCTCTGTACTCCTCGCCTCCACACTCTAGAACAAAAAAATTTTATTCAAAATAAAAAGTAAAGTAATTTAATTTAGGCTGGAATTTTGTGATTTCTAGTTGGATAAAACCAACATTTACAAACGATAAATTGCCTACACCCTAATTATTAGTATTATTAGTATTGATACGCGGAGAAATAATTAAATAAAAATAAAAATTCTTTCAAATTTAACAACTATCGTAAACTACCTAAATTAGTAATGATATAAATGTATAAATGAGTTCACAATTAGGAAGATGCCAAAACATTATTGTGATTATTAATTACATTGTAATCAAGCTCTTGAAAAGCCCTCTGACCGAACAAAAAAGAAAGGAAGAAGAAAAGTACATTTTCTTTCGTTAAATGTGTTTTAAAAGTTTCAACCGTTAAAGATACATTCGCTTTTAGTAATTAACTAAATTATTTTTAATCATTGTTGCACAAGTGAAAAAAGGTTAAGTAAAATGTAAGTTAAGTTCATTAGGAACATTAAATGTACTATTTAATAAATACACGAATGAATCTTTGGTAAAACGTTAAAAAACATAATAATAGTGTAAGTTCACAAAAATGTTTACAGTTAAAACAAACTCTCATATACACGTGTATACACATTTAAACACGTTTAATCTCATGTTTGCCAATACGTATCAAGAAAAGCTATTAGGTAATGCTCATTCAGTTACATACTTTCCTTCGTAAAAATTCAACCTTCCACATATCTATTATGGAAATTTCAATTATCAGATATCGAAGTACGCATCGTTTTCCGTTATTGGTTATGATAACAATATATCAGTAAAACAGTTTAAAGCTACATACTTTTTCTGAAAACAGTGCTAACTCTTTGCCTTTTACTTTCTCGCATGCTACTTAGGTAGTTTTTGATTCAAGAATAAACGGCGATTTTCTGATAGAAAACTTCTTGTTGTTGGTTCTTGATACCGAAAATGTGGAACATTTTTGTTTGTGTTGTAGTGAATAACTTCATATAAACCTTGCACAATCATAATCCCCGATTAGGGGGTTCTTGATAACGAAAATGTTCTTTACGGAAAAACATGTCCATCCGTATGTTTGTCCATTTGTCCATTTGTGATCAACGCTAGCACCTAAACCCTATGCGGGAGTGTTTTACGAAAATTTGTATTCTTCAAACAATTTGGCTAAAGTCGCGGCCTCTTGAAATTGAATGGATATTATAATTCTTTGGGAATACTTTACATAAAGCAGGACATTTAAAAGAATCCTAAACATCGTTTTTCTTTCTGTTTGTAGGATAGTGCGAAGTACGTTTATAAAAATAATCCAGGTCCTACTTTTGTTGAACTCTCTGATTTTTCAAAAAAATGTTAGTTACGAATAACTCGAGAAAGTATATGATCTTGTGACACTACTAGATGTGTTTTTCAAATTCTCTGCAATTGAGTTCAACAAATATAATATACAAATTACATACATGTAATCGTGGAAGCGACCAACAGATCTGCCATTATCGTGGCGTCCATATTATTGAGGAAAATGAAACCAGAAGAAGATGGACAGCCCAGTTCATCCTTCAGATATCTCCTTGGATTGGGCCTAAGCAGGTGAAGCATTTTGTCATCTAACACAGTTCCTCACTGGTCACGGATATTTCCGCAAATACCTCCACTGGATGAAGAAAGTAGATAGTGGGGGATGCGTGTGCTCACAAACAGATGATGCTGAGCACACAATGTCCGTGAGAGACGGGCAGCCGAGATAAGGTCATTAGAAGAACGGGTTGGAGCTATAACCCTTGATAACATCATTGAAATGTTGCTAACCAGCGAAGAAAGTTGAGGCGATACATCTACCTATGTAAAAAAGGTACTCCGAACCAAGAAATAAGAAAAAAACACAAGTCAATAACATTTTGAATGGGTAAGAAGAGGTAGTACGACGAGATAAGCATCGAGGACAAACTACAAGACACCATGCAAAAGCTATATAATGTAAAGGCGGCATGGTTTCCTCGTCTAAGGAAAACATGCTTCGTGGTTTTAGTGAGCGAGAGTCCCACACTACTCAGGAGTGGACCAACACCTCGTTGTTAATTAAAATTTCTACAGTTTTCCTTGTCAAAAAAATAGTATATTATGCAATTAGTTTATAAAGTACTTTTTTTCACGAATACGAATAGCTGCAGGAACAACGAAGAAAGTTTTACGTTATTTTTATCAGTGCAAGAAAGTGACATAAACGAATTGCATACGCTATTTTTATAACATCATTATGTAATTATTACAAGAGTGAAATGGTTACTGAACCTGGAAGTAGAATTGAATGATACATACATAATGGCAGGCCAAGGCCGACTGTAGTAGGGGCGGCCGTGGTTGGTTGTGGTTTTTTATTGTTCGTTGTGAAATGGATTTACCAGAGGCAATAATTAATGAAGTAGCTAAAGCCGAACTGTCGCTAATACCTAGACAATCAGCAGAAAAGTATGAAAAAGAATATGATAAATTTGTAACTTGAATGAAAGAGAAAAATACGAATGGCGTTCAACTAGTGTCGCAGAACAATACATTGAGGAGTCAGTAGCAAATAAGGTTCGAATCGCCAGGAAAATTGTCTCAGGGGTAGAGACGGCGAACACAGGCGAACCTTCGAAATCTCGCACTTCAAATGAAACAACAGTTTCTAGAAGTTCTGGATTTTCTTTTACGGATGTTTCGAACTGCACATTTGATTTTCGTAATTAATAACATTTCATTTTCATTATTAATAAGTGTTTTTGAGTAACGATTAGTTAAATTTGTATTTTGTAGTTTTTCTTTAGTCGATTTGTAATTCTTGTTTTTTGTGTTACGATTACATAACAACGCCGTACCCCCGGCAATTGTTTGATGACGTATGTTATTTTAATGAACTAGTTTCAGAATCCTGCAGTTTCTGTACGATTATTGATACCATAAGAGATTGTGTATAATGTTGGTGTACAAATAATAATAATAATAATAATAATAATAATAATAATAATAATAATAACTAGTTATTAATACTGAATAATTTAATATCAATCAATAAAACCAAATAATCATAATAATATATTGAATAATAATTTATCTTATATATCTATTATTTTAAGTGACCATATTCCCTCTACCCGCAGCTACCCAAAATGTGCAGGACTGTTGTGGTGGGAGGGGCGGGGGGCTGAGGTATACAGGGACGACTTCCGCGCGTTGGAGTCGCGCCGAGTCCGCGCGAGCAGCATGCTGCGGCGCAGCGCGTGGTGCGCCTCGCTGAGGCGGCTGATGGCGCGCCGCCGCTTGTCGCCGGCGTCCATCTGCATGGTGCGCTCGTACCGCTCCTCGGCCACGCGCTCGATGCGCGTCACCAGGTCCGGGAACGGGTTGATGGCGCGCACAAAGTCGCGCTGGTCCAGCCGGTACAGCTCGCAGCACTCGATGGCCACCACGCTCGCCACGCGCCGCTGCCCGCCCAGCACCAGCGCGATCTCGCCGAAGTGCGCGCCGTCCTCCAGGTGGCACACCTGCAACCCGGTCCCACAGTTCGCTTTGAATGATTGGTTGATTAGCCATTCCGGGAACGTCAACTACAAGGGTCAGTAGCCCCGAAGTATAGTGCATGTTTTTACTCGGGAGGGATCGGTGATATTTCCTCCCGCTGTTTGGCGAGATCCGACGCCGACCTACCGGCGGCTACCGGGTTTTCCCTCAACCAGGTATCTCCCACGAGCGGGGCACTACCCCAGTCAGGACGAGCTCTATGCTCCCTATGTTTGGAGGATATTTCCAGACGCCGGTTGCTCCGATCTGTAGTTTTCCGTGGTTTCTCCGATCAGGCGAATGCCGGAGTGCCCTAAAAAACGGATCTCAAATTATCGATTAAATAATCAAAATCGATTAAAAAAAAGAGTCTCAAAACCGTTTTCAATTTTTTCGAATGTACCCTGTCCCCTCCACTCTTTTTAATCATACACAGACACACACACACACACACACACTTGAATGCACTTCATTAACACCCGTGACCAATTGAGAGCGTAGGTCTTGTCCCAGCTGGGACTGTCCCTCGTAATGGAAATTCTTGAAGGGTCAGCGAAGGAGGAATTTTGTCACCCCTTGGCACGCACTACACTTTCGGTCATAATTACTTATAGCATTTGACGCTCCCGGAAACACATGATAATAAATCAATATGCTCCAGGTTCCTAAGAAATCTATTCTTCTAATTTCGGTCTATCTATTATCCCTCTGCCAGGAATTTCGTCTCTTCAGATATCTCCACTTTCTTCCGAACTCGCCAACATCGCAAGTTTCAATTCCTGTCCACATGATCGATTGATGCATTGATTAGTGTTTACGGGTGTGTATACGTCTAAGATCATTAGTCCCCTGGAAAGGTTTTGGGGGAAGTGGTGGTCAAAATTCCACTTATTGGACGGGAAGATACGGTGCCGACCTATACGTAGGCTTAACGAGTTTTCCCCAACGAGGTATCACCCACCAATGGGGCAATGGAGCTCTAATCTCCCGACTCGTCTCCCAACATGTGCGGTAGTGCCGTAGCGCAAGAGAGTAAGTGTTGCCTTCGCCTGAGGTTGGTCGGGGAAAACTAACCGACCGCTTGATCGACAAGAGAAAGAGGAAATAAAAAGAAAAAAATGTAAGGAAGAAGAAGTCAATCTTCAAAGCGCAGTACCACATGATAGTAAATTCACCTGATGTTGGTCGGGGAAAAAATAACCGACCTCTTGATCCACGATAGAAGAAGGGAAATAAAAATAAAAAAAAGAAGGGAAAAAAGCGAAGAAGATCCGTGCGCTTGCCTCTCTGCCGGTGGTGGTGTAGATGGCGACGGTGCCCGAGGTGATGAAGTACATGCACTCGCCGCGCGCGCCGGCCTTCACCACCACGTCGTTGGCCAGGAACATCTCGGCGCGCATGCACAGCACGATGCGCAGCAGCAGCCCGGCCGGCAGGTTGTTGAAGAAGCTCACGTTCTCCACGAGGCGCCGGCACGTGTGCAGCAGGATCTCCTGCCGCAGCTGCGCCGACAGCACGTTCAGGATCTCCGCCTCCTGCGAACCGCCGTGCATCACGCGCCGTAGTGGCTGGTTTTGTTTTACTAACGCGTTATGGCTTGTTATTGCACGACGATGTACACTTATGTTACTTGACTTGCCTGGGCTCGATGTACACTTAACGTACTTAACTTGCCTGTGCTCGATGTACACTTAACTTACTTAACTTGCCTGTGCTCGATGTACACTTCACCAAATTAACTGGCCTGTGCTCGATGTACACTTAACTTACTTAACTTTCCTGTGCTCGATGTACACTTAACTTACTTAACTTGCCTGGGCTCGATGTACACTTAACTTACTTAACTTGCCTGTGCTCGATGTACACTTCACCAAATTAACTTGCCTGTGCTCGATGTACACTTCACCAAATTAACTTGCCTGTGCTCGATGTACACTTAACTTACCTGGATCGAGAGGATCGTGGTTAGGAGGAAAGTATGAAATAAGGTAATTGATGCTACAAGTCTCTTATGCAAGAAATTATGAAAGGGACTTATGAAAGGGAAAAAATGGCAGGGAAATATGCAAATCGAGTCAAGACGACATTAGTAAATAAGTAAATCCAAAAGAATTAAATTATGTATATACGACGGCCATTTTGATTCTAATGATCTCAAGCAATTTGTCGCCGCTCGATAATTGCAATCCTTATGATACCCTTGGTACATTATTTATTTATTTAATAGGTAATTATTACAGACAAATTAGCTTACTTGATCCTATGTGGCTAGGCCGAAGGCCTTTAAGCCATTACAATACCTACATCCTTTCGCGTTCTTATCTTCCGAATTTTGGTATTCACCCCAAATGGTCCCTCCATCGCATCAAAGCCGCGGAAAAGAGACCATAAGTTAAGGTACCCTTGATACATGAATAACGATTATTTCAAGGGGCCGTGTGTAAAACATCTTAACCTATATGGAAACGTTTTCGAGATATGAGAAGTGAACTTCTTGCTGAAAAGGGTAAAACAGGGAGATGACAACAGCGTAATCTCGGGGTTTAACTATGCGTCATAAAGCGAACTATTTGAGTATCTCAGCACATGGACAGCAGATGAAAACATACGAAAATTTTAATATCATAAAAACTACAATAACTTTGAGGGTTGCCATATATTTCTCTCATGCACTTGGTATATATAATTGAGGGATATATTACAAAAACCAAAGAAGTCGTAAATGCTCTATTTTGAGATATTCCACTAATTCCACTAATAGATATTCCACTAATAATAATATTCCACTAATAATATTCCACTAATAGATATTCTACTATTTTGAGATATTCCACCTACAACTGTCGCTACCTGTTGGGACATTTCCTTTCGTGATGTGCCAAACACAATGAAAAATATAAGACGGGGGAAATCATAAATGCATTACTACGCACGTCTATGCTATGAAGTTTTTGGTGCCTTCTTAAAAATGTCGAATTGTGACTAGTGTCGTTCCTGTAAAGAACTCTACAACTAATATTCTAAGTTCTAACGTTGCGCAAACGCAACATTTAATATTTATATTTTTTAGAGAAGCGATTCGATCTATTTTTCCTGTATCAGTGACACACTATGAAAAAATATTATTTTATCATATTTTGCACTTTTTATTCATATCTGACAGTAAATTTGTCTTCGCAAAATTTTGAAACTAGAAGATAATGTAGTGAACTGTGCTACCGATTTTCAATTTTAATTTAATTACCAAACAATGCATGATTGCTGTACATTACTGGAGAGACTGGCTTGAACCTTCTCTTGTCATTTCAGAATATTTATTATGATGATAAGTCCTTGCATAGCTTATTATCGATAATTTAAAATAATGTTGCGTTTACGCAACGTTGGGATTAGTGGGTAGTGTAGTTTGAACATGATAGAACAAATGCAATTGGAATGTAATCCTTGAGGAATATTTACACTACACCAACACACAACGACAGTCATAACTCACGTAGTCACCAATCCACTGTGCCAATTTGTATCTCTATCTCACTGACTGGCAAATAACTGATATCTTTATGACTTTTGTTTAACGTATCTATAATTATTTGTAGTAATTTAAAATACCTCAATTTGTGAGTGACTTCCACGACGCTTACTCCTACTTTCTACTAGCAACGTTATGTTAATGATTTGCAAACAAATTAATACACTTCCATTTCTACATGAGTCAAAAAGAGAAAAATAATACGTACTTTGAAGAAACACTTTTGGTACCGAAACTCGTAGTACTCAATGAGGCGCTTCTGCAACTCGTTCGGAATTTGCTTGGATTGCATGTAATCTTTCAGATTATGTATTATCTCATCATACTTGGTGGTGGATGCATTAATAATGTAGACAAATTGCAAGATTTTTCCGACGAAAAGTAAATCAAAGACGCTCCCAAAAATCAAACCAACAACCGTGAGTATCTTTAAAAAAATATTTTCTTTATTAAAATTATGTAACTGGTGAAAATAGCCAAGCCACTACATATGCTTTGCGTTACCTGATCAGCTTTTGTCTCGGGATAAAACAATCCATATCCTGAGTTAAACATGTTTCCCAAGGCACGATGGAAACTTCTCTGGTAATATTTGTCCGTGACGTCGTTCGTTTGTACCCAAGCGTTCACTTCTCTTGATATCTGACTCCATCCAATTAAAAAATGCACAGACGTAAGGAGATGTAAGAAGAGACAAAAGCGAACCAAATACCAAATGCTCTGAAAGTTTACAAATAAGTTTAATATATTTTTTCTTTATATCTACTTATTCAGAGCATTCTTCGTTATTATTCACCTCTGCTATCATTACTGTCCCGTTTATCTTTTCCCACCAGCGAAAGAAGTACAGTTCCACTGTGTAAACACGTACGAACTTCACATAACGAACAAGCGCCAACCAGTCGCAATATTGGCACTCGAATTGTAATACAGGAAATATATATTCTAAAGGAAGAGATGATGCCAAATCAAAGATAAAGTAAGTAATCATGTAGTGCAAAGCAATTTTCCATCGGCGCAGTTCTACGACTTTTCCTGAAGAGGTGACATATCCAGAATTAAAATTGATAAAAATATCTAAACAACAAAATAAGTAATGAGGCACGTCGATTTGCACATAAATCACTAGTTCAGTTCTTTCTGGACTTGCAAATGAATACATAGCACTCAAGGGTATCATTAAAAATGCGTAAGTATAAACGAATATCATGAACGTTTCCCAACAATATCGGAAGGGACTGAAGGGATGTATGATGTCAGGATAATTCAGGATATGTCTGGTGCGCTCCTTGTCCATTGAGTAAGTACTTTTGTACATTCGTCTGGCGCGTGGAATGCTGTAGCTTAGTGTAAAGTAATATTTCCATGCTCTACAAAATTTATCCTTTCTGGTGTTTCCTGGATACTTTGTCAATAAAATATTATCGCGATCTTCTAACTCACAGTCGTGATAAAAAATGTCTCGTTCTTTTCCCATGATTGTAATTACTGGAAAAAGTAATCAGTTTTCTATCAGAAGAAAAACTTATATCACCATAAAACATGAAAGACTGTTTGTTGCACAACTGTTTTGCTTTTCGTAATCAACACCTACTTGATGACCTGTATGATACCAACTGTTTTGGAAAAACATATGAGCAGCGATTTTATATTTAGAGAACGAAATCATAAAATTATAAGTGTGTAGTTTTCAAGAAAAAAATGTATACTTGTAACGCTTCATTCATACTCATTCAAACAGGTTATATACTTTTATACGCTTAATATTTATATCCTTTTAGGCGCTTTATATACTTTCATACGCATATTATATACTTTTAACACTTCATTCCTACTCACAAACAGGTTTCCAGATGTGTTCCGTCTTTTATAAGCAAACACCTAAACTAAACTATTATCCAGCACATTTGACTAGTGGTAAACAATATTATCTTAAAAGTTATGAATGTTACAAGAGTGAAAATATGGTTAAACTTTAAGATTGTGTTGCAAGGGTAATAATTCAGTAAAGTATTTCAATAATATTTTTTTTGCTCGCGGATAGGCCCACATGGACCGTGCATGCATGCACCCTGCATTTACCGGCACTCAGACTCATCTCGGTGCCAAGAACATGTAACTTTATCAGGGAATCAGCATTTTAGCTGCAGCCGATTTTTATCCCCCAGGGTTGTGAGCCTTGGGAGTGTGGAAAATGAAATGATGATGATCAAGAGGGGGGAATGGACGACACACACATACAGGCATTCGCAAATTCACCCGTGTTCGAGGCGAGTCTCGAAATCGCGATCCTTCCTCCCGAAATCGCCAAAGCGCTACTGCCGAGGCTAGCTCGCCTATCGGTACGGCCTAGTAATTTGTATTATTATTATTATTATTATTATTATTATTATTATTATTATTATTATTATTATTATTATCATTATCATTATTTCTTTAGCAAAAGTAGAGCACAAGGAAGATGTAGGATTATAAATTACCTGCAGACCCGGCTTTCTTCGCAAGCTTCTCCCAGCAGGGCGCAGTCTTCCGCGTCCACGGACTTCTGGTCGTCTTACGGAAATGTATGCTCCAATATGATCTCGTCACTGACGAGTCCTCTGTGGTTTCAATATGTTGTGTGTTTAATGAACGTTTGTCTGCCTTCTATTTAGACTCATTCGCCCTCATACAAATTCTGATGAAGTATTGCTATGTAGATGACAAATCAATCAATTTTGTTTGCCTTTGTGTTCAAGAAATTAGGTTCTGAATAGTGTACTTGAAACTACTACGGTCGCGTTGGTTTTTCTGCGGTAAGCCAAATGTCAATAACAACAGCCTATCTTAGACATTAAAAATGCTATTAATTAACAATACGCCTCTTTAACCACGAATTTCCCTGAAGTAAGCGAGTTCGAAATTTGCTTCATTGAAGAAAGAAATTAGTACGTAACCACAGTTTCTTGAAATTCTTGACATTTTAGCAAAGACACCGCGTTGTATTAGCGTTTTTAAAAGAATGGATCTCATAAGTACACAAGA